GGGAGCCCAGCTGGGTGCCTGTGTGCCTGGGTAGCACCTGGGTGGCTCAGTCAGTTAAGCATCTGACCTTGGCTCAGGTCATGATCTCACAGTTCATGAGTTCAAGTCCCTCATGGGGCTCTGTGCTGACAGCTGGGAGCCTGGAGCCTGCTGATGTACCTCCCTCTTTCTCTGCCCCTCCTCCTCTCACACTCTGTCTCTCTGTCTCTCTCTCTGTCTCTCTCTCTCTCTCTCTTTCAAAAACAAATAGAAATTTAAAAGGAAGCCCAGCTATCCACGAGTGGCTATGATTATTATTAGTAATTAGTAATAATTACTAATTAGTAGCAATTATCTTTAAGATTAAAGAGCCACATTCTAAAGTATGTCATTAGAATTTAGAAATAAATTATATAACAGTATGAAAAATCTTATACTAGTCGGAGATCTTTTCCTTATACATTTCAGTATATTTCTTCAACCAGATTGGCAACTGAAAATATTATTGGGTCATAAAAATGACAATAAATGTACTCAAGGTGAAACTCCTAATCTTATCACTTCACTACCTGGATGACCCATTAGTTCAAATTAACTCATTTTCATGGAGGGGCTTTTGGGGCAGCTGTGAGGCTGCTGTGTTAGCTACAGGAAGTTGCAGCCTGGCAAATTTCATTCAAATATAAACCTCTGAATTTGGCTACCTGGCATTGTGAGATCCTGTTGTTTGCTATATGCAAACTAAAAATTATATACCATCTTGCTTGGTCAAAAGTTATGGGCTCTTCAGTATTAATTTCAATATTATTTCTGGAGAATTCATATGATCAGAGGCAACTGTGTGAACATAGTATCTTGAAACAGGAAGAAGGGGACGTGAGCTTTCCCTTCACACGTGCGATGACAGCGAGGGCGCGTGCTAAAGACTCACGTGGTAGCCTGTTCCTCCTCAACCTATGAGGTCTGAGAAGGAGATGGGGAGTAAGTGCCAGCCCTGAACTCTGTCCAGGGAGATCCTTTCCAGTCCCTACACAGGGCCGTTGGAACTCAGTTCTATGTTCTGTGAGGCCAGTTGACAGGGTGCGTGATCATTGCCTTTTATATCCACCCCCCTAAATATTTCCCAGGCCACCACAGAGAGGGCAGTGCTCAGTATCGCTATAAAACAACTAATCTGATGGAAATGTTTTAGGTCATGATTATAGTGGTGGGTCACAGGAGTCTGTCAAAATTTGTCAAAATTCATCAAGTTGTATGTTTAAAATTTGGGAATTTTATTATATGTAAATTGCACCTCAGTAAAGCTGACCCCCCAAAATAGTATATCCGTTGGAGGACTAAGGAGATAGATAGATAGATAGATAGATAGGTAGATAGATAGATAGATATATGTAGGTGTCAGACAGGAAAGTGGCAGTCTTCTTTGTGAGCTTTGGTATAATTACATGCTCTCTCTGGATGTCCCCAAGTCTCCTATATACTTAAAAAAAATTAACTACATAGGAAATTTTTCTATTTTTATTTTTGAGATATTAAAATGCTTGGAGGACAGCATGGCATATTAGTTAATGAATAGGATCTGAAATTCCAAAGGTCCTTATTTGAGTCCATCCACCACGATCACCATCACCTCCACCCATTTGGGAACTTGGGTTATTTCTCTACTCTTCAGTTCCCTCATCATTGAAATGAGAATCATATTCCCTCTCTTTAGGGACTGTGGTGATAATTAAATGAGATAATACATATAACACATCTGGGCACATGCTTAACAGTTTGTCTATGAAATGGCAAGTATGGGTTTATGAATTACTTCTATTGTAATTTAAATCTCTGTGAGAGAATTTGGAAATTAGGAGGAAATAAAATATTTTGTGCTGTGTAAAAAACAGAAAGGTATCTATGTCTAATTTAGGTACTCAATATTTAGGTACTCAATTGTTTGGGTCAGACTAGATGGTCTGGGGGTGGGGAGATCTCACCCACGACAAAACTGGGTCCTGCATAAAACACATTTTAGTAAGAGTTTGTTGACTTGGCAGGAAGTAAGGGAAGTCTCCAAGGCTGGGGGAAGAGAGTGCTGGTATGGGAGGCTGGGGAAACTGTTTGATGAGAAATTAAGACATTGAATGATGAGAAGGTGATCACACCAAAAAGGCAAGTTCCCCTGAGAACAGGTGTCCAAGTTAGCTTTGTGCATGACAGTCCTTAAACAGTTGCCAAGGTTGGAGCTGAACTTGGGACTCCAAGATTAACCGGGGAACCGGGAAGGGAGCTGGCTCCCCAGAAATACAAACATAAATCTTCTGGAGGAAAACAATCTCAAATTAGAACCCCAGATTTTCACAGATGAAGGTTAACCAGATATGAGTTTCAATCAAAGATTGCCAAATGCATAAGGAAGCAAACCAGGATGAGTGAGAGTCAGCATAAACAATAAACAATACATTCAAATGCCTAAAGCTTTTAGGTATTAGAACTACCAAATACAAAATACGCAGTCACTTAATAAGTAGCAAACATTCAACTTGAGACTAACAGAAATCACTAGGTGGTGGATTTTTTTTAAAAAAACCATGTGGAATTTATATAAATGAAAAAAATATGTATTCATTGACAATGTTTAAAACACAATGTATGAGGGGGAACCTGGGTGGCTCAGCTGGTTGAGCGTCCAACTCTTGGTTTCAGCTCAGGTCATGATCTCGCAGCTTTGTGAGTTTGAGCCCCACATTGGGCTGTGTGCTGGCAGTGTGGAGCCTGCTTGGGATTCTCTCCCTCCCTCCCTGTGCCCCTCCCCCACTCACACTGTCTCTGTATCTCTCAAAATAAATAAACTTATAAATAAATAAATAAATAAATAAATAAATAAATAAATAAATAAAACGAATTAGCTGAAGAAAGAATTAGTGAACTGGATGTATTTCTGAAGAAGTCGATAGCAATTTATACCCAAATATAGAACAGAAAATCATGGATAGAGAGAGTATAATGGGAGCTTTTCAGTATAGACGGTGAAGATAAAAGGTTTAACAAACATCTTCACAGAGCCCCAGAAGGAGAGAATGCGGACGATACAGACAAGGCAATATTTAAAGAGAGGACAGTTGAAACTTTTCCAGAGTTAAAATGAGGTCACTTTGAAGAAATTTGAAGACAAAGGAGTATATTAAAAAGCAGAGACTTTAAAAATTGGCAGAATACCTGAAGAGATTTTTTTTCCAGAGAAGACATCCAGATGGCCAATAGACACCTGAAAAGATGCTTAACATCACTCATCATCAGGGAAATGCAAATCAAAACCACAATGAGATATCACCTCACACCTGTCAGAATGGCTACAATCAAAAACACAAGAAACAATTGTTGGGGGGATGCGGAGAAAAAGGGAACCCTTGTGCACCGTTGGTGGGAATGCAAGGTGGTACAGCCACTGTGAAAGACAGTATGGGGGTTCCTCAAAAAGTTAAAAATAGAAATACCATATGATCCAGTAATTCCATGACTGGGTATTTACCCAAAGAAAACAAAAACACTAATTCAAAAAGATATATGCACCCTTACGTTTCTTGCAACATTATTTACAATAGCCAACTTATGGAAGCAGTCCAAGTCTTTCAACATATATATATATATATGGGGGGAGGGGATGGGTGAATTAGGTGAAGGGAATAAGAGGTCCAAACTTCCAGTTATAAAATGAATGTCATAGGGATGAAAAAAAAGTACAGCCCAAGAAACATAGTCAATAATATTAGAGTAACATTGTATGGTGACAGAGGGCACCTCCACTTACCGTGGGTAAGCACTGAGTAATGTGTAGAATTGACAAACCCCTACATTTGTACACCTGAAACCAATGTAACATTGTATTCAACTATACTTCCACAATAATTTCTTTTTAAAAAGCATAAAGGAAAGAAAAATTGTCTAAAGAATAACTATAAGGTCAAGAGCAATCATGGAAGCTGAGACAGTGGGGTGACATCTTTGAAGTGGTGAGACAGGAAGAACTATAAAGTTACATTTGTGAACCTGGCAATGTTCCCTTTTAAGTACAAGAGAAAAAGAAATGATATTTTCAGGGTAAATAAAAACTGAAGCATTTTACCACCAACATCACCTACAGGAAAGGAATTTTCTGAAGGATTACTTTTTAGAGAGAGGGGGTGAGGGGCAGAGAGGAAGGGAGAGAGCATCTCAAACAGGCTTTACCCAGGTGCCCCTGAACGATTACTCCAGAAGGAGGAAAATGAATCCTAAAAAAAAAATAGTCTGGAGGAAGAGTAAGCAAAGAAAATAGTGAATACATAAGTAAATCTAATACAGATTTACTTAATAAAATGATGATGGGGAGCCTGGGTGGCTCAGTCGGTGAAGCATCTGACTCTTCATTTCAGCTCAGGTCATGATGTCACAGTCAGGGAATCGAGCCCCAAGTCAGGCTCTGCACTGATATCTCCGAGCCTGCGTGGGATTCTCTCTCTCCCTCTAGCTCTGTCCCTCCCCTGCTCACTCTCTCTGTCTCTCTCTCTCAAAATAAATAAGTAAACTTTTTAAAAAATGATGATAATTATGATGTCTAATTGGAAAGATGCAATATAAAGAAACAACCTAAAATGCCGGAAAATAGCACAGTCACATAAATTAGGGAGAGGCCTAGTGAGAGCTAATGTTCCGAGGGCTTTGTCAGTGGGAGTTTTCAGGTATCGATCGTAGTCTTTGTTAAATACACAAGGTAAAATTTTGTGGGTAACCATAAACAGTGAAAACACACTGGTAATTTCCACAGCAGGTAGAAAGCAAAACTGTGTAGGAGAAATGAACACAAGAGGCTTCTTTTCACCAAATCATAAATAAAATCAACGAGACCCGTAACTGGGAAACTGCTGTAGGGTCTTTGGGTATTGAATCTGGGTTGGGGGAGGGTACAGCGCTCCAGTTCCACGGGAATGAGGGGGCCTGGGCAGAAGGAGAAGGGGTGTGAGGAGATCCCCGGGACTGGCTCGTGGCACAGGTGAATGACAGGAAAGCTTTCACAGCAGAGATGTGTAGGGCGTAGACTGGGCCTTATCCACGCCTTGGGGAAGAGGCTTGGACGAAGAGCCGTGGGAGAGCAGAATAGGGAGCTGACACTTTCGTCCATCAGGTTGGGCCTGTGTCCGCGTCTCACAGAAGCCTTCGGCCTGGCCCAGCCTTGGCCAGAGTGGCTTAAGGGCAGCAGGCAGGGAGAAAAGGTGGGAGAAGGGAAGCAGGACATCTCCCCTGGCCGGCATTCAGGACACAGCCCACGGACACCCGGAAGGAGGCGGACGCAGAAGCCAGAGGGTGTAGGCCTTGGTGCCCGCCTTCGAGAAAACACCCAGCCAGACAGAGCTGGGACTCGGAGGAACCCCAGGATAAGATGGGCCCCGCAACATGGGAAATTGTGCCCAAACACAAGTGCTTCTGTGCTTGATCACTGCTTCTTCCTTTGCTTCCCATAGAGATGTAGGCACCCCTGGCCCTGCCTGCCCGTGGTTCCCTTCTGCCACTTAGAAGTGTTAACTTATTGAACAGGAAGACACATAAATCAGAGCATGTTTAGAGGAACTTGCCATAGATTTGAAGGGGCATAAGAGCGCATGTGAGTGATAAGCACTATGTAACTGGCACTCACTTCCTGCTCACTCGATGCCAGGAGCCATTCTATGTGCTTGAATTATATGTGCATACCTACGTGCAGGTGTGATACAATTTGATGTTCACGTACCCAAGATCACACAGCTAATAAGAGGCAGAGCTGGGATTCAAACACATACACTCTGGGTCCAGAGTCGTCTTCGCTCAAATTAACTTGTGCTACTTCTGAATGGGTGGAGAACACTTTGGCTTGGACGACGTTGAATTCCAGTTTGGTGCTATGAACTGAATGTTCGTCGACTCCTCAGAATTCATATGTTAAAGCCCTGACCCCGCCATGTGATTGTGTTCGGAAATGGGGCCTTTCGGAGCTGATTGGGTTATGAACGCGGAGCCCTTGTGATTGGGATTAGTGCCCTCGTGGAAGAGACACATGAGAGAGATGATCTCTCTTTCTGCCACATGAAGACACAGTGAGAAGAGGGCCATGCTCAAACCACTCAAGAAGAGAGGTCTCCCCACCAAGAACCTGATCACGTGGGCACCCTTCCAGCCTCCGAGCTGGGAGAAATGTTTCCTGTTTAAGCCACCCCAGTCCATGGTATTTGCTGGTAGAGAAGCCCAAACTGATTAAGACCTTGGGGAAATGATGGATTGTCTCTGAGTATTTGGAGAGCCATATATGGAAGAAGGGTCAAACTTATTGTATATGGACCAAAAAGATGAGAAATAAGAAAATGATTCTCTTCTGCCTGCTTTGAGACAGTCAAAAGTGCCCAGAGAAGAAATGGGCTTTCACAGAGGGTGTTGGGCTCTCCATCCCTCGGAGCTCAACGCACTCAGCGTTAATAACATGGACAGGACCTTGGCATTGAGTGGGTGCTTGCACGAGGCTCTCCATAAAGTCTTCCAACTTGCGAGGGTCTGCAGCACCTTGAGCGCCAGGCTAAGAGCTCAGATCCAAAGAACTAGATGCTGAGGACTCTCAACTTTTGCAACAGCTATTTTTTTCCCTACACAACTTTGTTGGGGAGCATCGTGGAGCCAGAATTTGCAGTTGTATATTTTAAGACTCTGCATCCCCGGATACACTTCCTTCAGAGGTCAGCTTAGGTATCACCTGCCCCAGGATGTGCTCCTCACCCCATCCCCAATACGAGCTTTGGTGCCCCCCTCACTCCACCTTTCCGCGACCAGGCCACTTCTCACACACTCCACTGAGTTGTCTGTTTCTTTGTCACTCTCTGTGTTAGCTTCCCAAGACTTCAGTAACAGATTAACTACAAACGGAGTGGCTTAAAATACCAGAAATGTACTGTCTCACAGTTCTGAGACTAGAAGTCCAAAATCAAGGTATCAGCAGGGCCAGACTCCCTCTGAAGGATCTAGGGAAGCACACCTCCCTGCCTCTTCCAGCTGCTGGTTGTTGCCGGCCCACAGTCCTCGGTGGTCCTCAGCCTGACGTTGTATCACTCAAACTTCTACTTTCTGTCTTCACGTGTCCTTCTCCCCTCTGTGTCTGTGTCTCTGTGTTTCTCTCTCCTCTTTTTATACAGACACCGGTCACGCTGGATTTAGGGCCCGCCCTCATTCAGTATGACCTCCTCTTACTTTAACGAGTTGTGTCTTCAAAGGCCCTATTTCCAAATCAGGTCACATTCACAGGTACTGGGGTTAGGACTCCCATACATCTTCTGAGGGGACATAACCAAACAGACAACATCCCCCAACCTCCCATGATCACTAGACCGTGGGCTCTTTGAGGACTGTATCTTTATTCCACACAGTTTTATTGTGTCTACTATGAACCACATTCTGTTCTGGGGACTGAGCACAAGCCACAGTCAAGGTCCCTACTCTGGCTGGAGCTTTGATTCTACATAAAGGCAGACCGTAAAACAGTGACCACTCAGTGCTGAAGCCAAATGCCAAACATACGTATGTGTGTATATAAAGCACATGGTATATATTTGATACTACCACAAACAGTAAAAAAAATGAAGTACAAATTATTCCATTTCATCCAGCCTGAGCTTTTCGGCATGTTTACTAGAATCGAACTTTGGTTTCTAACTCTGTCCCTCATAAAACTTTGTACTCTGACACTTGAAGTTTTTATTTTTTTAATGTTTATTCATTTTTGAGAGAGAGAGAGAGAGAGAGAGAGAGAGAGAGAGAGAGAGAGACAGAGCATGACCAGGGGAGGGGCAGAGACAGAGGGAGATGCAGAATCTGAAGCAGACTCCAGGCTCTGAGCTGTCAGCACAGAGCCTGATGCACAGAGCCTGATGCAGGGGTCTAACCCACGAACCATGAGACGGTGACCTGAGCTGAAGTCGGAGGGACGCTTAACCGACTGAGCCACCCAGGCGCCCCGCTGATACTTGAATTCTTAACCTAGGTCGCCCTCCCAGTTCAGCCCCCAAGTAATGTTTCTTAGTATCAGGATATAAACCTTATCAAATGTATCCCTAATCTTTTCTTTTTTTTTAAATTTGAACTCGGAACTAAAGAAAACACTAACACTCTCTTTGCCTTCCAGAGCGGAGTCAGCAACTCCCCGTCTCCGTTTGCCCAGATGCCAGGTGAGTGCTGAAGCTCAACAAGCAGTTACTTAATTCCCTTTTGAGTTTCAGTCCGGCGTTGGGGTTTCCATTCTTTTATAACTGCCTTACAGCACCTCCGAAATTTTACTTTTTCAAACAAGTTATTTTTAAAATAGAAAATCAGCGAAGACAGACCTAATTCAATCATTCCTGAGTTTGGAATTCATTCTGTCTTGAAGGTGGCCTTTCCATCCCTGGCCTCGCAGAAGCTTAGTGAGCGAAAGCAGTAACAGGCCCTCGATACGGTTTTAAAATGTGCACAATTCTGGGACCATGATCCGAGAGATTATGCGCCTGCTTTGAAACAGAAAGGCAGGTGAAGAAACTACCATTTATGGAGGGCTCTCTGTACATCAGGCACCTTAAGCGTTTGGTATTCATTTCAATACATATGTGTCCTTCGGTGCTCCTGCAGAGGTGGGAAAGGGGCATTCTGATTCTTAGCAAAAGTGTTGGGGATGCCTATGCACACGTGCACACGCATGTGCACACTAACACACACTCCTTTCAGAGCCCAAACTCGGAGATGGCATAGGCCTTCTCAAATGATTTTAGGAAGCTTCGCAGCTGGATAAGAAAAGGAATAAGGGCCAAAAGGAGACCCCGCATATCTGAATGTCTGTACGTTGTGTTTCCCAAACATGTTTATCATCCCTGGAATCTGGCTACATCTGCTCCCTCCTATAGAAGGAAATTTTTGCAGCTTCCCGTACTTTCCAGAACTATTCCTCCTCTTTTTAAGGAGAAAAATATACACTTAAGAAAGCACAAGGGTTTGTGTTGTTTTTTTTTTTTTTT